GCTGGGGCCTGGGCCGGCTGGCTCTGCAGGCTGGACCCTCATCTTCCCATGGGGAAGGGGCTTTTCTGGGAAGGGGCAGGCTGGAAGAGCTAGATGACTGGAGACTCCTCCCTCCCTCCCTCCCTCCCTCCCCAGTCAGGCCCACTGAGTAAGCAGGCCAGTCCTGGAAACAAACTGGAGAGAAAATGCTGGCCCAGGGGTCAAAGCCCCGAGAGGGCTGAGGGCCCTCTAATGATGGGACTGAGCCCAGCTGCCTCAGCAGCTAGACCTGGTGGGGAGTAACCAGTGGGGCTGGCACACGGGGCAGGGGGCCTCGCCCAGAGAGAACCCTCCCTGGGGAGACAGGAGAGGTGGGCTGGGGTCCAGCTCTGGACTCTCCAAGGCACCTGGCTGTGGTGAGTGGCAGGTAGAAGGGAGTGGGGAGACCCGAGGGGGATGAAGTGGTCAGCAGGGCTGGGCCAGCCCCATCCCCCAAGATACAGGCTGTCTGGACAGCAGATATATATTAATATATTAGTCTGGTCTTTTTGGTTAAACTTTAGGCACCGCTTGGGAGGAAGACACCTTTAAACACTGAAGTAGGACCCCAGCGCCTCGGTGGGAGCCTGGCCACATGCAGAGTAGGGGCAGGGAGCACAGGCAGGGCTCAGGCCACAGCAGACTCAGGACCCCCCAAGGAGGCTGAGGGCCCTGAGGCATAACGGCGGCCATAGCCAGAGGAGGAGTAGGAGGAGGAAGAGAAGGTCATGGAGAAGCCGGAGCCAGTGGCATCAAAGCTGCCACGACGGGAGCCGGCCCGGGAGCCGGTGCGTGAGCCAGTGCGTGAGCCGGCAGTGGAGCCAGAGCCACTGACACTATAGGGGCTATAGTAGCCCTTGCTGGATTGGGCAGCAGCCTCCAGCAGCCGCAGCCCTGTGCCCTCCTCCACCATGCTGCGGTCCAGTGCGTCTTTGTAGGAGATCTTGAGCTTGGTCTTGGGGCAGGTGAGGTACTTGGAGTAGGCCCCCACATCACGCAACTTCTGGGCAGTGCGGGCATCCACTGTACCACGCTGCAAGGCCTCGTCGAGGGGAACGCGGCCTGGCATGTCGGGCTCGATCAGTCCACCTGTCAGGTACTGCACCTCCAGGAAGCGCTGACCTGCCTCATAGTACAGCCAGCCCTTCTTCAGGGCCTGGGCAGCTGACATCTTGGTCTTAGTGCGTGGATCCTCAAAGCCACAGAAGGCCTTCTGGGCCAAGTTGATGCGGTCCACCATGATCCTGTCTACCAGGCCCTTGTTGACAGCCTCGGTGACAGGGAAGCGCTCGCCGGTGTTGGGGTCGATGATGCCCCCAGTGCAGGCCTGCGCCTCCAGCAGCCGCTGCCCAGTGATGTTGTCCACCAGATTGCGGTGCATGGCCTCCGTGATGGACACCTTCTCCAGCGTCTCTGTGTCCAGGATGCCAGCCACAGGGCCTGTCTCTTCAGTGGGGTCAGACCAGGAGGTCAGGGGGGTCCTGGAGACGGCAGGGCTGATGGGGTAGGAGGAAGAGGAGCCCACCGAGGAGGAGCGGGAGCGGAAGCCGCCAGCATTGCCTGAGAGCATGTCAGCAAACTCAGTGATGGAGAGTGTGCCTGCACGATACTGGTCCAGGGCAGAGCGGTCAATGAGGTTCTTGCTGATTGCATCATCAATGTCGTACTGGCGGCCAGAGCGGCGGTCGATGATCATGGACTTTACCACACCGTCTGAGGAGGAGATAGTGATCTCTTCCCATTCGCACTCCTGCTCGGACAGTTCCAGATAGGTCTGGTGGTCAATGAGGCCCTTGCGGTAGGCCTCATACACTGACATCTCCTTGCCTGTCTCTGGGTCCACAATGACCACACGGCGCTTGCGTACTGAGGACTTGGAGGATGTCTTCCGCTCTCGCTTCTTCTCCTTCAGTGGCAGGAGGCACAGGCCTGTCTGGGGGTCAGTGATGCAACGCTCCATCAGCTGCAAGTAGGTGAGGTTCTCCTCTGTGTTGGGGTCGAAGAAGCCCTTGGTGTCATCCGAGGGGTCGGTCAGAATCTCATTCATCTCCTCATCAAAGAGGCCACGCTTGTATGCCACCTCCACAGGTAGTCGGTGGCTCTCCTCAGGGTCGATGATGCCACCCGTGGCGATCTGGGCCTCCAGCAGGCGGATGCCATGGTCCTTCAGAATCAAGCCCTTCTTCATGGCCTGAAAGAGGGAGATGAGCTTTCCAGAATAGGGGTCCTTGTAGCCAGTGACAGCGCGCTCAGCTGACAGCAGCTTGTCCTTGAACTCAGGGCCCACAATGCCCATACGCACGGCTTCCTCCACGGTCAGCTTGAGTCCTTTGATGGGGTCAATGACGTAGCCAGTGGCTGCCTGTGCCTCCAGGAGCTCAAAGGCTGTGCCAGGGCGGATGATGCCCTTCTTCATGGCCTGGTACACCGACAGTCGCTCCTTGGTGACATCAACAAAGACACCAGCAATGCAGCTAGTACCCTCAAGGAACTTCTGCAGGTTCTTGGTGACCTCCTCGATGGAGGTCAGGCCCTCCTGCAGCTGCAGCGCTGTGGCCTCATCCATGACCTGGGAGCGCACCAACTCCTCTACGGTGATCTGCTTACGCAGGCCACGGAAGGTCAGCTTGCGGGTGTCTGAGAGTGGCAGGAGAAGCTGGCCGCTGTTTTCATCACGGCGGCATCGTTTGAGCAGCTGCGTGTAGCTGAGGCGCTCGTCAGTGGACGGGTCCACGTAGCTGCGCACCTCACTGGGCTCTGACAGCTGGTCATGTGTGTCCTTGCTGAGGTAGCCACGTTGGTAAGCCACCTCCAGTGGGAGGTGGAAGCCTAGGCGGGGGTCCACAATGCCACCGGTGGCCAGTTGGGCATCCAGCAGTCGCAGGGCCTCTTCGGCAGGGATCAGCTCTTTCTTCATGGCTTGGAAGAGCGAGATAGTCTGCTCGGTGTAGGGGTCACGGTAGCCAGTAACTGCCCGCTCTGCTGAGAGCAGCCGGTCATGCAGTTCAGGGCCCACAAGGCCCTTCCGCACAGCCTCGTCCACAGTCAACCGCTCGCCCTTCACTGGGTCCAGCAGAAAGCCTGTGGCCGCCTGTGCCTCCAGCAACAAGCGAGCCACCTCAGCACTCAGCAGTCCCTTCTTGAGGGCCTGGTAGATGGTCAGTGTCTGCTTGGAGCCAGGCAGATAGATGCCAGCCACACAGCCTGTGCCATAGAGGTAGCGCCAGGCCGACTCCACCTCGAGGACCTCACGGAGGCTCTTGGTGCCCTCCCGGAGCAGGTTGAAGGTCTCGAGGGAGATGATCCGAGCCTCGTACAGGTCCTCAGCTGTGAGGCGGCGGCGCACGTAGTCATAAGAGGTCAAGTTTTGCTGGCGGATGATCTCAGTCTTCTCGATGATCTCGATGATGATGATGATCATGCGCTCCTTAGTCACCCGGCCAGCCTGGAAGTCAGCCATTAGCTGGGTCCGCTGCTCCTCAGGGATCAGATCTGACTGCATCACTTCCCACAAGGACATGGTGGAGCTGCCATGGCTACCACCACCAGGGATATCGATCTGTGTCTCCTCAAATGCCCTCCGGGTCTCCTCCTCGGTGTATACCTGTGTGGTTTCTACCACCTCTGCCTTCTCTGCCCCTTTTAGTGGCAGGAGGCGCAGGCCCGTCTCAGGGTCCTCCACGCATCGTTCCAACAGCTGCAGGTAGGTGAGGTTCTCGTGCGTGTTAGGGTCAAAGAAGCCCTTGGTGTCATCGCTCGGGTCAGCCAGAGTGTGGTTCATTTCCTTGTCAAAGTAGCCACGTTGGTAGGCCACGTCCACGGGCAGGCGGTGGCTGTGCACAGGGTCAATGATACCACCTGTGGCAATCTGGGCCTCCAGCAGGCGGATACCGTGCTCCCTGAGGACCAGGCCCTTCTTCATGGCCTGGAAGAGGGAGATGGTGGTGCCTGAGTAGGGGTCCTTGTAGCCAGTCACAGCCTTCTCAGCCGATAGCAGCTTCTCATGCAGCTCGGGGCCCACAACACCCGCTTTCACAGCCTCATGGACATACAGGCGCTGGTTCCGCACAGGGTCCACCAGGAAGCCAGTGGCTGCCTGTGCCTCAAGCAGAAGTGTGGCCGTGCTGGGTCTAAGCAAGCCCCGGCGCATGGCCTCATAGATGGTCACCTTCTCCTTGGCATCCTCCAGGTAGATGCCAGCGAGGCAGCCGCTGCCCTGCAACAGTGTCCGCACAGACTTCAGTTCTGACAGGTCCTTGACTGTGGTCTTGCCATCCCTGAGCTGCTCGAACTGGGCTTGGCTGAGCACCTTGGAGGCCAGGAGCTCACTTGCTGGCACAGGGTTGCGGAGGCCGCTGAAGGACAGCTTTTCCTGCCGCAGAGTCTCCACCTCCTCCACGATGGTGATAAGGATCTTGATGACCTTCTCCACGGTGACTTTGCCTGTGCGGAACTGCCTCAGCAGCTCCTGCCGCTGTTCCATTGTGAAGTAATCAGAGCTGATAAGCTCCCACACTGTCAATGTCCTGCCCTGGAAACCACCCACGGGGACATCGACTGTGGTCTTCTCAAAGGTCTCGCGGGCCTGCAGCTCAGAGTAGAGCTCCTCCTGTCGGGCCCGGGCAGCCTTCTCAGAAAGTGGCAGCAGGTTCAGTCCTGTGAGCTGGTCAAGCCGGCATTGCTGTTGGAGTTGGCCATAGGTGACCGGCTCCCGAGTGGTGGGGTCGCAGTAGGCCTTGGCATCATCCCTGGGTGTCGACAGGGCCCTGTTGGTCTCCTTGTCCAAGTGGCCTCGGGCATAGGCCACATCCAGGGGCACACGGTGGCTCTTGCTGGGGTCCACGATGCCGCCCGTGGACAGCTGGGCATCGAGCAGGCGCAGGCCCTGTTCCCGGGGTATGAGGCCCTTCTTCAGGGCCTGGAACAGGGAGACACTCTGCCCGGTGTAGGGGTCCCTATAGCCTGTCACAGCCTTCTCAGCCGACAGAAGTTTCTCATGCAGCTCAGGGCCCACCAAGCCAGCACGCACTGCCTCATCCACAGTCAGCCGAGCACTGGTAGAAGGGTCGATGATGTGCCCAGTGCCAGCCTGGGCTTCCAGCAGGGCCACGGCCACATCAGGCTGCAGTAGGTCTTTTTTCAGGGCCTCATAGATGCTTAGCTTTTGCCCTGCCTCCTCCAGCCACACACCTGCGATGACATTGGCACCCCGTAGGGCCCGCCGCACAGTGTCGGCTTCAGCTACCTCTCGCACAGAACGCTCACCCCGCTGCAGTTGGTGGTAAAGGTCACGGTCAATGACCTTACTCTCCAGAAGCTCGGTGGCAGGCACCAGGCTGCGCAGGCCCTCAAAGCAGAGTTGACCCTTCTGCTCCTGCTCCTCCACCACCGTGATAATGATCTTGATGATCTTCTCCACCGTGATCCGGCCTGTGCGGAACTGCCGCAGCAGGTCCCGCCGTTGCTCTGCCGAGAAGTATTCTGAGTTGATTATCTCCCAGATGGTCACTGTCTTGCCCTGGAACTTGCCAAATGGTGCAGACACGGTAGCCTTCTCAAACACATCCCGGGCCTCTGAATCAGTATAGACCAGCTCCCCACCCCTGGCGGCCTTATCTGTGAGTGGCAAGAGGGACAGGCCTGTCTCAGGGTCTTCCACACAGCGCTCCAGCAGCTGTAGGTAGGTGAGGTTCTCATGCGTGTTGGGGTCAAAAAAGCCCTTGGTGTCATCACTTGGGTCAGCCAGGATGCGGTTCATCTCCTCGTCAAAGTAGCCACGCTTGTAGGCCACATCCACAGGCACACGGTGGCTGTGCACGGGGTCAATGATGCCGCCCGTGGCAATCTGGGCCTCCAGGAGTCGGATGCCGTGGTCCCGGACAATGAGGTCCTTCTGCATGGCCTGAAAGAGGGAGATCTGCTCTCCGGTGTAGGGGTCTTTGTAGCCTGTGACAGCACGCTCAGCTGACAGAAGCTTGTGGTGCAGCTCAGGGCCCACCACACCCTCCTTCACGGCCTCATTGACGGTCAGCCGCCGGTTCCGCACAGGGTCCAGCAGGAAGCCCGAGGCTGCCTGGGCCTCCAGCAGGATGAGTGCTGTGCCAGGGCTTAGCAGTTGCCTCTGCAGGGCTGTGTAGACACTCAGCTTCTCATTGGTTGGCTTCAGCAGCAGCCCTGCAATACAGCTGCGGCCCTGCAGGTATTGGCGCACGTCCTCCCTCCGTGCGAGCTCGGCCACCGTGGTATGACCCTGTGCCAGTCGCTGCAACTCCTCTGTGCTTAGGATGCCCGCTTCCTGTAGCCGCTGGGCTGGCACCTTCCGCCGCAGGCCATCGAAGCTGTGCTCAGACTCTACTTCCATGCCTGGGCCATCGGGCACCTCCCGGCCATTGGGCAGGGTTTTTGTGGCAGCCGCCTGCGAGGCAGCAACCTCCTCAGAGTGTGCAAGTGCAGCCCGGTGCTCCTCCTCCAGGCGCTGCAATCGTTCACGCAGCCTCTGGTTCTCCTCCGCCAACAGCTCCTCCTGCTGCCGCCGCTGTTGTTCCAACCGCTGCAGCTCCTCCTGCTTGAGCCGCACACCCTCCTCTGCCTCACGCTGCCGCCGCCGTGCCTCCTCCATGCTGGCCACCAGCTGCTGCCGCTCATGCTCCATCTGCTGCTGCTGTCGCTGCTGTTCCTCACGCAGCTGCTGTGCCTTGGCCACCTCATCCTGGAAGAGCTGCTCCAGTTTGGCCTTCTCTTGCTCGATGAAGCGTTCCCGCTGTAGCAAGCTGTCCTTCTCAGAGAGGAAGCTCTGCTGCAGAGCCTGTGTCTCCTGCAACAGCTGCTCCTGCTGCACCGTCTGCATCTGTGAGAGGGAAGGGGAGCAGTTAGGAACCACAGAGACTGGGAGCACCCGCCGCCCACCCAAGGCAGGTCCCTGGGGCCCACCCCCCTGTGGAGGGAATGAGGCGATACCTCCTCGGACTTGAGCTGCAGCAGTTTGGCCTCCTGCTGGAGCTTCTCCTTCTCGCGCGCCAGCTCAGCAATGGCCTCCCGCAGGCGCTCAGCATCATGGTCACTCTGCTGCCGCTGGATCTCCAGTGTCTGCACCAGTGTCACCTTCTCCTGGGTGGCGAGCTCTGTGCGGTGCAGCTTCTCACCAATCTCTTCTGCCTGCTTCCGGAAGCGCTGGGCGTCCTCCTCAGCACGGGCCTGAGCCCGGCTCATCTCAGCCATCCGCAACTTGAGGCGCTCGGCCTCGGCACTCATCTCCAGCTGCCGCTGCCGCTCTGCCTCTAGAGTCCGCTGGAAGCCCTGTGTCTCCTGTGCCAGCTGTTGCGCCATCTGCTCCTTGTCTTCCTGCAGCCGGCGTGCCTGCTCTTGTGCAAGCTCCTTTTGCTGCTGCAGCAGCTCTGCCTCGGCCTTGAGCCGTGTGGCCTCCTGCACCGCCTGCATCTTCTCCTTGAGCATCTTCTCTGCCAGGGCCCGCTGCTGTGCCAGGTCCTCCTCTGCCAGCTGCCGCAGCCGCGCAGCCTCCTGGGAAGCCACGCTCAACCGTGCAGCCTCCTCTGCTACTTGCTTCATCTTCTCAGCCTCCTCCTGCAGGAAGCGCTGTGTGTTGTCTTTGTCACGCAGGATGAGTGCGCGGTTCTCAGCCTCGATGCGCGCCTTGAGCTTGCCCAGCTCCTCCATCTGCACGCGCACTGAGAAGAGCTCCTCCTCTACCTGGTTGCGCTGGCGGGCGGCCTCTGTTGCCTCTGCCTTCAGCCGCTGCAGCTCCTCATCCAGCAAGCTCTTCTGGTGGTCAGTCTCCTCCAGCTTCAGCCTCAGTGTTGTCAGCTCCTGCTCCACCTGTGCCTTCTGCCGCAGTGTCTGCTCAGCAAACTTCTTGTGCTTCTCCATCTCCGCGTCAGCGGCTTGCTTCTGCCGCAAGGCCGCCTGCTCGGCCTGTGCTCGCCGTGCTGCCTCCTGCTCGGCCTCCTTACGCAGCTTTTCTGCATCAGCCTGGGCCTGTGCCCGGGCCTGTGCCTGCTCCTCTGCTAACTGCTTCAGTCGCTCGGCCTCTTCTACCTGCCGCCGGGACTGCGTGGCCTCACGCTCAGCCTGTGCCCGTGCCTCCTCTGCCTCTTCAGCTGCTCTCCGTGCTGCCTCTGCCTCGCTGCGCAGTCGTTCCAGCATGCTCTGTTCCTGCTGCAGTGTCTGCTGCAGTTCTTGCTCCTTCTGCTGCACCGCGAAGGCATGTGCTTTCTCCTCTGCCTGCAGCCGCTTCTGGGCAGCCTCCTGGGCCAGCTGCAGTTGCCGTGCCGACTCCTGCTCTGCTCGCTCGCGCAGACGCCGCGCCTCCTCTACTTTGGCTTTGAGCCGCTCGACTTCCTCCAGCGCAGCCTTACGCTGCCGTGCAGCCTCCTCCTCGGCCGCCAGGCTCTTTTGCACACGCTCCTCGGCCTCGCGACGCCGCTGCTCCTCTTCCGCAGCCAGCTGCCGCTGCCGTGCGGCCTCTAGTTCTGCCTGCTCCTTGCTGCGCAGTGTGTCCTCGGCATTGCTACGGATGCGCCCTAGCTCCAGCTCCAGCTCTGTCTTGCCGGCAGCTGCCTTCTCGAAGCTCACCTTCAGTGCAAGAATCTCCTCTTCCACCTGCCGCCGCTGCCGTACTGTGTCCTCCACCAGCCCCTTCTGCCGCTCCAGTTCACTCTCTGAAGCCTTGCGTAGCTGGGCCAGGCGCTCCTCGATGTCGGCCTTGTGCTGTGCTGCCTGCTCCTCCAGCCGCCGCCGCTGGAAGGCCTCGTCTTCTGCCAACCGACGCAGGCGCTCATTCTCGGCCTCCTTCTCCTTGAGTGCAATCTCTGCCTCTGTCTTTAGCCGTGTGGCCTCACTGATGGCAGCCAGCTTCTCAGCAAGCACCCGCTCTGCCTCAGCCCGCTGCCGTGCTGCATCCTCCTCAGCTAGCTGCCGCTGCCGCTTGGCCTCCTCTGCCAGGGCACGTAGGCGGGCAGCCTCCTCAGCTAGCTCGCGGAACCGGCCAGCCTCAGCCTCCAGCCTCTGCTTGGACTTCTCGCTGGTGGAGCGTGACTCCTCCTCAGCCCGGGCCTTGCTGGCCAGCAGCACCTCCATCTCAGCCCGCACCTTGGCCAGCTCAGCCTCCAGTTCCTGGCGCTTCTGTAAGGCTGCAGCTGCCTCACGCTGTAGCCGGGCCAGCTCTTCCTCCAGCAGCTGCCGCTGCTGCTCCCCCTGCTCCGTCTCGGCCCGCAGCCGGATCAGCTCCTGCTCCGCAGCCAGGCGTTGCTGTGCGGTGCCTTCCGCCAGCTGCCGCTGCTTCTCCAACTCCTGCTCCGCCAGCTCCCGCTGCCGCACAGCCTGCTCCTCCGCCTTGCCGCGGCGCCGCGCCTCACGCTCTGCCTCCTCCTTCTGCTTCTCAGCCTCGGACTGTGCCAGAGTCTTCTGCTGTGCCCCCTCCTCTGCCTGCAGCCGCAGCCGCAGAGCCTCATTGGCCTTCAGCTGCCAGCGCTCCAGCTCTCTCTCTGCCTCCTCACGGGCACGCTCAGCCTCTGCCTGCTGCTGCGCCCTCCGCTCAGCCTCCTCCCGCAGCTGTGCCACGGCCACGTGCTCCTCCTGCAGAGAGCGCTCAAGCTGCGCCGTCTTCTCCGCAAAGGAGGCACGCTTGCTCTGCAGCTCTACCTCTGCACTGCGTTGAGCCGTCTCCAGGGCCACCTGCACCTGGCGTGCTCGCTCTGCCTCGGCCTGCCGCAACTGCCGTTCTGCTTCCTCTGCCTGCAGCCGCAGCTCCTCCAGTGCCTGCAAGGCCCGTTGCTTCTCACGTGCTGCCTCAGCCTCAGCCTTCACACGCAGGGCCAACTCCGCCTCTGCCTGCCGCTTGCGCTGGCTCTCGTCCTGCACCTGCCTCCGCAAGCGCTCGGCCTCCTCCTGAGCCTGCCGCTTCTGTGTCTCGGCCTCCTCCGCCCGTGCACGCAGTGCCTGCAGCTCCCCCTCGGCCCCACCACGCTGGCGTTCAGTTGTCTCCAGCTGTAGGCGCACCACACGAATCTCCTCCTCAATGCGCAGCCGGCTACGCTCAGCTGCCTCTGCCTGCCGGGCTTTGGCCTGGATCTCCGCCTCTGAGCTCTGCCGAAGATGCTGCAGCTCCTCCTGGATGCTGCGCTTCTGCTGCTGTGCATCCACTGCTGCCTCCTCCCGCCGCACCACCTCTTCCTGCATGCGCCGCTGAAGCTCCTGTGCCTCCTGCTCCGCCTGTGCCTTGGCCTGGGCATGTGCCTCAGCCAGCTGCCGCTGCTTCTCCAGTGCAGCCTCCACCTCGGCTAGCCGCTCCCGCTCCTCTGCCCGTTGCTGCGCGGCCAGCCTCTGTGGCCACGGCAGAGAGAAGAAGAGAACCAGAGAGAACGTGAGCGTGGGCAGGTGTCAGGAGCTCACAGGACACGGCACCACCACAGTTCACTATGACAGCACGGGGCAAGGGTCAGGGAGGACAGGCCCCAGCCCGGCGAAGGAGACAGCGTGCACCCGCCCAGAGCACTCGGGCAGCGAGCGCAGCCGGCCCCACCATGCTCACCAGCCTGGGGAAGGAGGCCCAGGCATCCTCCCCTCTTCCCGCAGACAGGCGACGGAGACAGATGGACAGGGAGAGAAAGAGAGAGCAAAGCAGGAGCTCGCAGGGCCTGCGAGCCACGCCCACCACACAGCCCTGCCTGAGCTCTGCTAGACGCCGATGGGTCTGGCTCCCACCACAGGGCCCCTCTCCCCGACCAGAGGTGGCTCCCAAAGCTCAGAGGGGTGGGGCAGAGTACGACGGCCAGAGTGGGGACAGCAGTGCATATCTGAGCCAGCTCAAAAGAGTACTCTCAAGCTGGCAGCTCCCAGCAAAGAGGCAGCCCAGATGACAGGACCAATCAAGAGGCAGGGAGGCACCCTGCCCACTGAGACAACTTGGGATACTCTACCCCAGGCCCAAGACTTAACACCCCCGACTCTTTCCAGTGCAAAGGACTGAATGGAAAGACCAACGCAGAATTGGAAGAACGCGCACGAGAGCCAGTGGGTTGCAGGTGAAGGATGCTTGCCAACAGAGAAAGGAGGCACCAGCCACCGCGGGGGGAGCAGAACAGCGCCAGACCAAGGAGGGCAGGCCACACACAGGTGAGGGCAGCCTGGGGTGGGCTGTGCTGGGAGTAAGGGGTGCTGAGCAGCACCAGGCAGGAGAGTAAGGAATGCTACACTATGTGGGATTGATGGCTCCTTGAAGGACTCCCCACCCCATCCTGGTCCCACTGCAACCTGGTCATACCTCCTCCTCCTCCATGCGCCGCAAAGTCTCGGTGATGAACTTGATGTACTGGCTTGTGAGTGTGGTCAGCTCACTGTAGCGTGTGCGGAGGTCCACGTACTGAGGGGATATAGCCAGGGTTATTCCTGAGACAGCCACAATCCCAAGAGGCCCACCAGCCCCTCCCCCACATCAATTTTGGTCTGCCCCACCCAATACCTCCTGAATGATGCTCTCCGACCCAGACTGGACCTTGGGCTTCTTGGCTGGGGAAGCCACCGGCTCAAGCTGCGCCTTGTATGTGACCAGCTGGAGCTCGTAGTCCTATGGGGATGCACTTGTGAGCTACTGGCTCTGCCCTCTGGTTGTCCCCCCCAGACCCCACATCCACCCCACAGGCTTTCCTTGGCATGAGCCTAGGCTGTGGGGCACCACCAGGGTCCTAGGCCTACCAACCCAGCAAGTGTCCCAGGACACGGGGCTTGGCAAAGGTGGTAAGAGGCCTGGGCCTCACCTTGATGGCATTGATGTACTGCTTTGCAAACTTCTGGCACTCCTCAACCTTCTCGCCATGGCGTTCAATCTCCTCCAGCAGGGCCTGAGGTGGAAGGGTGGTCAGCACAGTGGCTACAGAGCACACCCTGCCACTCTCTTCCCCACCAACCTGGGCCCACCTTCTCCTGCTGCAGCTGCTCCCGCACAGCCCGGCTGTCGGCCAAGGGCATGGCCTGGATCTGCTCCTGCCGCTGCCTGGCATCCTGCAGCCAGGCACTCAGTGGGTCTGCACTCTCACGGTAGTAGCGCAGCTGGCGGCCCAGCTGCTCAAGCTCACGTTGTCGCACATCGGTCTGGGCCAGTACAGCTTGCCAGCGCTCTAACAGCTGGGTGACCCGTTCCCGCCAGCGATCCACCTCCACGTCCCGCTCACCATGCCGCTGCTGTAGCCGCTCGCCTACCTCCTGTGCTCCACGCAGCTCATCCCGCATGGCATCAAACACAGGCTGCTGTGCCTCTGCCTGGGCCCTCAGCTTCTGTTGGGGACAGGAAGGGTATGGGCTGCTTCAGTTGGGCTTGCTGTCCCCAGTCCCCAGCCCCCAGCAAAGTACAAGCCCCTGTAATAGTACCTTCAGTGAGGCCTTTGTGGCCTCAAGCTCTGGGAGGGTGGCAGGTACAGCCTGGGCCTCTTTGAGCTGCTCCTCATGGGCCTTGAGCACCTCCTCAGCCCCCTGTGTGCTGCGGATCACCAGGCTGATGGTCTTGAGCCTGAGGGGAGAGTGGAGCTTGGAGGCAGCCCGGGGGATGAAACCAGGGCCCTGGAGGTCAGCTGACCCCTGCGGTCACAGACTTCAAGGAGAAGAGCTGAGACTTGGGAGAAGGTGGATAGGAGACTTTGAGACACTTGAGTTCCAGCCTAAAGACCTAAAGTGAGGATATGCCAGCCAAGAATATCAGATTCTAAGATCCTGGGGGCAGCAGAGCCCACTGACTGCATGCCAGTGGTGTCCTGACACCCACATGGCCTGGAAATGTAGTTCTCAGCCTTCTAGCCTAAGACTAGGTGAAAGGAACACCCAGGGCAGAAATGGCACCAAACAGCAGACTGTGACGTTTCTCTCAAACACTGTCAGTATTTGAGAAGGATAGATAAAGGGTAGATACAGTGTTTGTAATATAGCAAGAGACTATGAGATAATACATTGGAAATAAATGCCAGAGGCCTTTGAGGGGTAATTCAGGAATCAGACAGATGAGAGATCAGGTGAAAGGAGATTTCTCACTACTACTGAAAGTGGATCCACGCAAACATACTACCTTTATGCCTCCAAAATGAAAAACACTGAAACAAACAGCAAAGAAGAAGAGAAGAGGTCCTGCAGCTGGGCACGGGGGAGGGTAGGTAGGAGAAGCAGGGGGTGGGAGGGCTTGTTGGGGCTCTGGAGCTGGGGAAGAGACTGGGGGAGGGGAGTTGGGAGACCATAGAGAGGACCCCAAACAGACCTCACTATCAGGCTGGGCCTCTCACTGCCCCCCAGCCTCTACTGTCTCATCTGCTGTTTCCACTCCTGCCACCTCCTTGCAGGTCTTCTCCCCCACCTTCCACCAAGAAGCCCCTCTCTGCTGTCATCTGTGTCCTCCACATGGCCAATCCCGCCCTCCTTGGACCCTCACTGGCCTGGATCACTCCTTCCCAGTACTTTCCAGCCTGGGCTGGCTGCCACCAACATCCCCCAGACCGAATTTCTCCGAGTCCTGACTCCCACAGCCTCCTACCTCAGTGAACAACTCCCCGTCCCCCTCAACTCCTCTCTCCTTTATACCCCACGTCTAATCATTAGAAAGTCCCATGGGTACCATGGTGTGGCCCTTAACTCTCCTTGCCTCTCCACGGCTGCCACCCTGGTCTGAGCCCACTATCACCTGGACAGATCACTCAACAGCGTCCAAGCGTCCAACTCATTGCCCTTGCCCTCTCATGCCCCCTCCCTTCGTCTACCGAGAATGCTTCCAGGGTCACAGCCCTCACCACCACCCAACCCAGCCCCTCGACTGCAGCCAGGAGCACTCACTTCTCCAGATAGATGGCAGACAGGCTGCGAACCTGTTCCAGCTTGCCAAGTGTCAGCTCCAGCTCTGAGCGCAGAGTAGGGGCAGCAGGCGATGGCTCAGGTAGGGCCAGGATCTTCTCGGCCTCAGAAGAGAGCCGGGCAACCCCCTTGCCCAGTCCCTCAACTTCCGCCTGTGCCTTCTGCAAAGAGAACAAACAGTGGTTACACAGATTATCAGACCCAATGCACAGCACCCCTTGAGGGAGGGAGGAGGGTTTGGGAAGAGGGACAGAGACTGGGCTGGGGATGGTGCCTGCCTGCTGCTCAGCGATGCGCTGGGCACACTCCCGTGCTGGCTCTTTGTCTAGTGGTAGCCGAAGTCGGTGCACGGTGCGAGTCTCACAAGCCTCTAGCTGCAGCCGGATGTCTTTGAGCTCTGAGATGCAGTGTTGACAGCGAGATTCCTCCTGCTCGCCTGGGGGACACATCCTGGTAATTCAAATGCCCGGCCCACCAACGGCCCACCCATCTACCCTGGGCCCTGCCCACCCCATACCCTGCTCCAGGCTCTGCAGCAGCTGCTGGTAGTGTCGGCTGCAAGAGCTGTACTCGCGCTCAGCTGTCAGTCGGTCCTCGGGCCCGAAGCCACCAGCGTCCTGGCTGTCCCGCAGAAAGGCCTGATAGTGCAGCTCCAGGCTACGCAAAGCTTGGCGCTGCTCCTCTGGCTTCAACGTGCGGAACTGGGGACAGCACAAGGGGCTGAGCATGGAGCAAGACAGACGAGTGCCCCGCAGGACACCACCTCCCTTCCTCCCACTTAGAGAGCCCTCAGCCAGGAGGCAATTATACCGTGACCAGGGACCAGGAGCGGATGAGCTGCACATCGCGGCTGAGACTCTGCCACGCCAGAAGGCTCTTCATGTCCACATGCAGCTGATGCCACAGTGCAACCAGGGCCTGGTGCTGGGCCTCCAGTCTGGCAGGTCAGGACCACAGTCAGGGTTGCTAGGGCCCCACTTGCTGCCCACCCCCTCCACCTGCCACCCTGGTCACCCACCTGGTGATGGCCTCCTGGGCCTCCTGGTTGGGTGGGGGTACAAGGAAGCACACAGAGGGCACAGCAGCCTCACTGCCAGAGCTGCTGAGCACCTTCCAGTGGGACGGCTGTGCAGGGCCCATGAGCTGGCATTCATCACCTTTGTGCATGGTCACCTGGGACAGTCAGAGTTGGTTTTGATGTGGCCACGCCCATGCCCTGCCCAGCCACACCCCTCCAGCCAAGTCCCTGGCCCAGCCCTCACCTCCACTTGCTTATAGTCACACACGGCCAGCAGGGGCACATGGCCTCGCACAGGGTGGGCTGGGTTGCGGGGCTTCAGCTGCACAACGGCCTTGGCCCGCTTCGCCAGGCCCGAGAGGTGGCCCTTGTATTCGTTCAGCTGCTCCTTCTCATCCTGTTGGGGAGGGGCAGCTCAGGTAGATACATCCAGCATCCAGACACATGGCACATCTGCATAAGGTGCCATGAAGAGCCACAGGCCTGCTCCCAGCAAGAAGCAGACACCCCCCAGTTCTACAGGACCAGGTCTGTGGGATCTTCCTGGTATTTCTAGGGTAGACACACTTGGAGGCAGAAGGTTTGGCCGCAAGCAAATCTCACAGACCCTTCCTCCTCCCTGACCGAGACTGGGTATCCTCCCCTCGCCCCAGATCACCCTCCTGGCTATACTCTAGCCCCTACAATTCCTTTCCCCTTGTCCCTCTCCATTAGGCTACAGAAGGTGACTGCTTCCCCCAGGGCAAAGCTTTCAAGGCCGCAGAGTCAGTGTCTACCCTGGAGCTGCCTGAACCTCTCCTGCCCTCCCCCAGGCTGCTGCTGCTGCTGCTGAGGGGGCCCCAGCCCTCTTCCTCCCATCATTCCCAAATGCATGTGCTCCAGCTTCCTGGGTGCCCACCTACCCCTGTCCTTCAGACTGCCTGCTCCAGATGTCAGGCCAAAAAGCCAATGCACTCATCTACAACAAAAGGGCTAGTGACAACTGCCGATTTCAGGCCTCTGTTCATTTGGTGCTCCCCAGGGGTGGAGACTCATCCCATTGCAGCCAGCCACCTGCTGCCCACCCTCTCACTGCCATACCCCCACACCTGGCTGACTTCTATGCCCCACACCGTGCCTCCCATTCCCTGCTGGCCCCTCCAGTTGTCCCCCACCTCCAGTGCAGCCCAGACTCCAGGCTAGCCTCTCTCCCTGCACTCCTGCCCCTGTCTGCCTCACCTGAGCATCCTGCAGCAGGTCCTCAAGTCGGGTGACAGTGATAGAGCGGTCGCAGCTATACTTCCTGCGCAGTGTCTCCTGCAGCTTCTGTAACTGTTCCTCAGCCTCCCGAACATCTGAGAAGAACTGGGGCAGCAGGAGTGGGTCAAGCCAGACTACCTGGGCCAAGAGCCTCAGGCCAGAGCTGCCCAGTGTAGGCCTAAGAGATAAGACTTGAGGCAGGAGGTAGCAAAGCCCCAAGAGGACGGGGGGAGGATTTTGACCCAAGGCCCGTAGGATGGGGTGCAGGAAGAAGCTGGCAAAGTCTGGACAGACAGGAGGGCTGTCAGTCAGGGGCTACTCCTCCGACATGACAGTCCATGGGCTCCTCCAAGGCTGCAGCTGAGCCATAGGGAGCAGGGGAGGAGGGGGAGGCTCCATGTCTCACCTGGAAATAGGCGGTGTTCTCCTTCAGGTGTGCCTCAATGCAGCAGCACAGCTGTAGCATCCAGCTCCACTGGGTTTGCAGGGCAGCCTGGAAGGACTGCAGGACAACGGGTCTTCATCAGGCTTCACCCCACCCCACTTGGGGGTCCAGGGTGGTCCCCTACAGTCCCACCCCCACCTAGAGAGCCCAAGATAGTCCCCCACAGTCCCACCCCTACCTCCACTGTGGGTCGAGCAGGGTGGTCCTCCCGTAGCAGCCGGTCTCCAGTGTTCTGGATCTCCTTGATTTTCTTTTCCTTCAGCTCTAGCTCACGCATCAGGGCCTGACACGGAGGCAGAGGCTCTCAGGGCCATGCCAGGGTCTATCAGTCTCCCAGCAAACCCCAACACGAATCCCGTGCTGGTCTCTGTGGAGCCTTGGGCTGGATCTGACTGGTCACCAACCAGGAGCTCCTGACTGTGGGGGACAACCACAGCACAGACCAAGGAAGGTTCCAGAGGGCAGGGCCATTGCTCACCGAGTAGCTCTCCTTCTTGGCGGCCATGTTGGCATTGCGGTCACTCCAGTCAAAGCCCACCTCCTCCTCCTCCTTCTCGTTCAGCCACATTAGCTCTTTGGTGGCAGCTGCCACAAAGCCGTGCAGGCTCTCCAGGAACCTGAGGCGAGCCTTGGAGGAGTTCTGTGGGCAGGAAGATAAGTGTCAGCAGGCCACAGCCTATCCACCTCCCCAGATCCCTGTCCCCACCTCACTCACCAGCAGCTTGGCATACTGTATGTCCAGACGACCCAGGCAGTCACGGTAGGCACCCCGGATGGCAGGGGAGAGCTGGCTCTGCAGTATACGAAAGGGGTAAGGCCTGCAATGGCCAGGTCCCAGCCCGCTACCCACTGTCTACCCCCACGGTGCCACTCACCTCATCGCTCCGTGCCCGCTCAATCTTGGCCCGGAATTCCTCAATGGACTGGTGCAGGCCTCGGTGGCTACCCAGCTGTGCCTCCACACTGGGCAGGTCCACGCCCCACTCAGCACCATCCACTCGGCGTTGGTTCTCCTCCACCCAGGCCAGTAGGTCTTGCAGGTAGCGCAGTGTGGAATCCTCAAGCTCAGGGCGCCTCTGCATGCTCTGCAGCGTAACCTGAGTCACCTGGGTTACAGGGGCTGCGACACCTGCCTTCAGCCGGAGGTTGTACTCGGTGCGAATGGCTACCAGGCGCTCATGTAAACGGTACACCCTGGGGCAGCAGAGGAGTCAGGAAGGGGTCAGTGGGCCCAAGGTTGCCTGTACCCATGCCACCCAGGGAGTGTCCAGGGCAGGCCCCACCTGCGATACATCTGCTCGCCCTGTGGATGCCGTCCATCCTTGAGGGTCTGCACATCATTGAACAGCAACCGGATCATATCATCTGCCTTATCCAGGTCCCGCTCCACCTCCCCAGCTCGCTGTGGTACTTTGCCTGCAGCCAGCAGCCGGATATCCTGCAAGGTGGTCACCTGTGACTCAGAGCCCAGTTGACCCACCTCCTGACCTCACAGGGGCCTTGGCCAAGGTGGTCACCCTCATTTCCCCAGCCCAAGACCCAGGCCTCACTTGGCTCGCTAGCCCCAGATACCTGCCCTTTCTTTCCTATACATCTGCCTGACATGCACTTCTGGCCAAATCGCTATTCACTGGCCTTCTGGGGGATCAGGATAAAATCCAAAAGAACTGTGCTAGGTCTGAGGACCAGCACCCTTCACGGCCTTGTCCACGAGTTCCTGTGCCTCATCCTCCATCATTCACCCCAGGGAACTTCCCCCACCAAGCTCCTGTCAGGGCCCACACAGGCCTGTGTCTTCTGGGCCCCACGGGTACACAACCAGCAGCAGGTCTGGGTCCTGCCCTACCACCCCTCCACCAACAGTAAGCCCCTTCATGAAGAAAGGGCACAGCAGGGGACAGGGTAGCCTCTCTGTGTCCTGCCTGGTGTCCAGAAGGCAACTCCGCCCAAAGCAGGCAGTGAGAGTTGGCTACATACCCGGAGGGAGGAGCTTAGGCCTGGTTTCCCCACCTCCAAGCCCTGCCCCAGCCCCATGAGCCTAGTGGGACAGCCCTCTCCTGGCTTACAGGCTGCAGGGTGTGACAGACTCATCTGGCCAGCCTCCCTCCCGCCTGCCCACCCACCTACCCGCAAGCCGGCCTCCTCCAGGCCCAGTCCTGCCCCTTTTTTAGTCTCCACCCCTCCCCTCCCCCTCACCGACTGCAGCAGGGCGTCGGCCTGGTTCAGCTGCTCCTCACACAGCCCCGCCTCCATCTGCAACTTGCTCACTATGCGCTGAAGACACTCCAGCCTAAGGCCCAAAAAGCACCCAGGACCTGCTGTGAGCCAGATAGGGCAACACACTCCCAGTCCAGAGTGCAGCTCTTCTCCAGCTCCAGCCTCCTGCCTGTGGCCCACTGTCCCGCAGGCTAGTAGGAGCTCGGGTTCCCCCCCCACCCCGCCTGAGGGGGGTTTCCTCCCCAGGCAGTGACTCACCCTCGGGTGGCTCCCCTGCCACCACAGAGCCCCACCCACTCGTGGCTTCCCCTACATTCACTCACCTCTCAAATTCGCTCCGAAGCTGTTTCTCCCGCTCCAGGATGGCCACGTGCAACTTGCCCCACTCCTTCTCAACATCCAGCGGGTGATAGCCAGGAGGTACCTTGAGCTGGCCTGCTTGCACCGCCGCCTGTGGGCAGGGGCCAAGTTCGGGCCTAAGCCTGCTAGGAAGGTGAGTGCCAGGCCTGGGGAACCCAGTCCACCAGACCTGAACAGTCTTAGTCTCAATAGGCAGGGCCAAGTCCTCCTGGCCTAGGGCTCCAGGACACCCCACTCACCTCCCTCTCAGGTGCCCCACTCACCTCTAGGGACTGGTAGATGCCCTTGGACCGGTTCTTGTCTGCCTCCTTGGCTGGAAGCTCTGTCTCCTTAAACTTTAAAAACTGGCACCAAAGGATCTGTGGGGACAAGGGGTATTGGCAACCACACCCAGCCCCCAAGGTAGGCACAGGACTCCCACCCTAGCAGGCAGGCCCACCTCAATCTCCTCAAAGCTGGAGGGGAACTTGCGCTCCTCAAAGGCAGCGGTGTGGTGCCGGATCCACTGCAGCAACAGCAGCACCAGTTCACGGTATTCCTGCCAGCGAAGTTGCAGCTCCTGTGAGCATGTGAGCAAGTGGCGTCAGGGGCCATTGGGGGCCGGGCCCAAGGCCCACCAGAGCCCCCAGGCCCACTACTCACATTGGCCCTCACCCCATCCTGCACATCTGGCACACGAGGCATGGCATCATACAGGGACGAAACATAGGTGATGATGGACTTCTCGTCGGGCTGAGGGACGTCCACATCTGCCAGGGAGGGCAGGTCAGAGGAAGCTCTGTCGAGCAGTGGGGGAAGGAACAGGGAGGAGGCACCAGTACCACGTACCCTCTGGGTCCAGGAGCCGAGTCACTCCCAGGTCCCGTTCTGCCACAGAGAAGGCCTGATCCAAGTTCTCCAGGTTGGTCTGACGATACACCTTGTTCATGTCGATGAGGATGGGCCTGTGGACAATGAGCAGGTGGATGAGGCGAGTGGGATGAGGGGCAGTGGGGCCCACCCAGCAGGCAGACTTCTCCACACATCCCGGAAACCACAAAACCCTACACTCTGAAAGATACGCTACCCCTATAGGCAGACCTGAAAGAACCCTGTCACCCCCATCTCCAGAAGCCCAAGGGACCCACGGTGGACACAGACACAGGGGGACTGTCCTCAGCAGTGGATGTCTGTCAGCTCAAGCTCCCTGCAGTCACCTTGCCTGCCAGGCCCCTTCTGAGGTATCCACATGGGGCAGATTCTCATGGTTATGGGAACCATCAGCCCACAGGCCCTCCAGCCCCATGGAAACAGCGGTGCTTCCAAAAGGCCCAGGAGAAGGTTGGTAGAGCATGAGTATAAGATTGGGCCCTGCTAGCCTACATCACCCCAGGCGGCTGGCTGGCACTTATCCCCACCCTTCCTGCCACCCTCCCTGCCCCAACGTGTCTAAAGTCGCCCAGCTGAGGTGCTCTGGGCATGCCCCCTGCCCATGGCCCCCACACCTCCCAGGACCACATACTTGTGCCGATGGATGATGGCATTGAAGAGGCGGCCGTCACGCCAGCTGGAGGTGAAGTTGTCACAGCGCAGGCCCTGATAGCCTTCCACCATGCGCTGGGACCACAGCAGCAGCTTCTCCTTGGCAGTCATGTCCTCTGATTGCCCGCTCACCTGGATGTCTGAGATCTGCCCACAAAGAGGGCAGGAGGCCACAGCTCAGCCCTGGCCACCCTACCTGGCAGGCACCCATGATCACATACAGAAGGGCAGGGGCAGCTAAGCACCCAGTTGGAGTGCACAGGGAGCCACCAGGTCAGATGAGGCAGGGCAGGGTTCTCAGGCTCCTCCATGTTGGGAAGCTCCCGGAGCCAGCCATGTTTTGGGGCCATGAACCAAGCCCACTTCAGCCAGCAGTTGCCACAGAGCAAGTAAGAGCCCCTAACCCCAATTGCAGGTGCCCTGGTCTCCCTTTAGCTGGGAGGTCCAGGTTGTACCCTATATCCCCAGAGACTGACACAGAGAAGAGCTAGAGGAAAGTGGGCAAAGAAGAACTACAGATCCCTAAAACTGGCCAGAACCCCCAAACCTGAGAATGATTATGGAGGGGGCAGACCAAGCCCTCCTCTCTGGTTGCAAGCCAGAGGAGTGGGGCCTCTAGGGGGTAGGCATGATGCATGGGCCTGGCAGCCTAGCCTTGCACTCAGTCCCATCCTGACCCCATAGCCAGGGTCTTTCAGCCTGTCTGCCCATCAGCACTGCCTGCCCTTAGCTGTTTGTCTGTAGTCCTGCCAGGCTGTGTGACTCAGCTGCCATGCTAACTAGGCTCTGCCTGCCCAGCTCTCAGATTTGTGGCTTCCTGTGCGGCCGGGTGAGTCAGCTGGTACAGCCTATGCTGCTCCAGAAGCTTCCCCAGGGCAGGCAGCAGAGAATGCATTCCTCCACAGGGAGGTTCTGCAGGCCCTGCCTAGCTGGGGCCAGAGGGCACAGAATAGACAGGCCTTGGAGAGAGGCCTGGGCCCTAAGGCCATGAAGTCAGCCCAGGGCTGGAATTGGCAAGAAGGCGCCAAGGTGCCATCATACCAAAGGTACTACCTCCTGGGCCACACCCCAGCCAGAAACCAGGTAAGGAGCCCATGGCAACTGTGGAGACTCCTGGGGATTGGCGGAGGGGCTGGGGGCAGCCATTCTACCTGGAAGTGCAGAATGATTGTCCAGATCAGGCCGAGGGTAAGCTTGGGGTTGCCATCAGCGATGTCATCATTCCTGATGTTCACCAACTTCACCTGTGATTAAGGGGTTCTCAGTTATGACCCACAGAGTGGGGCTGGCTTGGTGAGGGGGTCTGTGGCCAGGTAGACACCCTTACCTGGCGGTGCCGGAGGTAGTCCAGGGCAATCTGGACATTCTGCAGCTTGTGGAAGCGCATCCTCCCCTTCTCCCGGGGCTGTGAAAGGAGGCATGGCATGGTCAATGCCCACAACCCAGCTGCAGCTCCAGGGTCCCGCCCTCAGTACCCCTCAATGCAGCTGCAGCCACTGAGCCAACGGTCTTCCCCAGTGGGGCAGCAGCCCCTCCCACAGCCTAGGTTTACCCTCCCTAGCTGGGAAAGGGAGGTCACCAATCCAGAAACTGGGCCAAGCCCAGCAGGGGCTCGGGAAGTCCAAAGACCCAGGCTGCAGAAAGGAAGGAAGGGGGTGGGGAGGAGACAATAGTCAGGAAGCTTCGGGTGGAGTGGCATTAAAAGGAGGGGGTCCTCCTGCCCAGTGGTGGCAGCCATGGCAGCTGCTGGCAGGTCCCAGGCCAGCCCTGGACAGTGCAGCAAGCTGGCAACTTGACACAGCCACCTGCCCGCCCAAGATCCAGGTGTGGGTTGGATTGGACTTGCCGCCAACCCCGGTGAGCTGGGTTCCATGGTCTCAGGAGCCCATGTGCTGCTGTGACCAACAGGCACAGCCACTCACCAGGCGCGAGCTCCTGATCACGTCCCGCTCCCGCGGCTGCCCAGCCAGAGCAGGGCAAAGGGTAAAGGGCAGAGGTCAAGGTTCAGAGTCCAAGCAGCAGAGAAACCAAAGCAGAGCAGAGCATGAGGTTACTGTGTTAGGGCTCCGATGCAGAGGGCAGCAAGGGCCAGAGTGGTCCTAAGGCACAGGGGTCATGGCCACTTCCAGGCTGGGGCCCTGGCTGCGATGCCTGACACCCTGGATGGGAGATGCAGTGAGGGGCGAGGCCGGGCTGCTCCCAGGGAGAAGGCAAGAGGGGGCCAAGCTGGACTCAAAGTGGGCAACTGAAAAGGCCCCAAGGAGGAGAGGCAGACAGAGTGTTCAGGTGGGGGCAGGTAGGCCCCAGAGGCAGGCAAAGGACACACATACCAGGCTGTCCCCTGAGAGGACCTCCAACAGGGAGATGAGGTTGTGGCCATCACGGAGGTCTTCATACAGATCACTGATGTGTCTCTGAGCCTGTGGGGACAGCAGGGTCTAGGGTAGTCACAGATCCCCTAGAGCCACCAATAGGCCCAGGAGCAGACAACCAACGAGCTAGGTGCTGACCCCAGAGGAAACCCACAGAACATGCTCCATACCCCAACGGAGGCACCTACCTCTGCCCTCCAGTGCTACAAGGAGAAACCAGGAGAAGGAAGAGGAGGAGGAAAGAGACAGGAGCGAGAGCATGGGGAGGAAAGAGGACAGAAAATAACAGGTTTCAGAGAGATGAAAGGTGAGCACACAAGCAGTGTGAAGACAGCCTCAGGCAGGGGGCGGGTAACCCTTCTTCCCTCCCACCCTCAATCTCAGCCCTGTGACACACTCACAAGCATATGCCACCAACCTTGATGAGGTGCTTGTTGACCCACTTGGTGAAGGTTTTCTTCTGCACACGGTCCCGCTCATCTGGGGAAGACAAAGCTAGTTTACCTGGGGATTGGGAGAAGGCCAAGGAGGCCCTGGAGTTGACCACTATGCAGATAGCAGCCTGGCTGGCCAGATCCCTACCGAAGAGGGCCCCAAAGCCTACCTCAGACCACACATGGAGACCTGGCCCTCCCTTGGTCCACAGACCAGCTAGAACAGCAGAAACTCAGACAGCCGAGCCCCGCCAGGTGGGAACTCAGACACAGCAAGGTGCCGCTGCTCAATTCCTCTAATGTCTCCAACGAAGATGGGAGAGTCCAGAGCCACACCCAGAGCCCACAGCAAACAAGTCCTAGCCTGCTCCACACTCCCCTACCTCGCCATGCTGCCCCAGACCTAAGCAGAGGTATGGGAGAACTAGGATCCCATCAGGGGTGTTTAAAGGGAAGCCATGTCCTCCTGACAGGGCAGCAAGTCTTCCCCAGAGTGCCCTCAACCGCTTTGGTCCTACAGCTAAGGCTCAAAGGCTTGGCTGACACTGATCAGCCCAACTCATGCTGGGCAAGGGTGGCTGGCCCCCAACCCTCCATCTTAGAGTTTAGGCCCCCACCCCCACCCAGTATCAAGGCTTCCTGCCACAGGAAGCAGGCCTTCCTGCCCGCAGAAGCCCGCCCTGCCCAGTGGGGAGTGCCCAGCAGGGAGTACCCACTACCTTTCTTGCCCTCAGAGGCCCTGAGCACTGCCAGATAGAGGTTGTCCTCTGAGCTGGTTCTCTTGCGACCCACGCCCTCGGGCTCAGGTACGCGGAGCTGGTGCTGAGACATGGTGCTGCCTCGGCCCCCGCCCCTTCGTTGCCCTGTTCCTTGGCCTCAGGTGCTGCGTTCCAGGCAGCCCTGTGTAGCACACAGGCAACTGAAAGCTGGTGGCTTCACAGGACGCTCACACTGCACGAGCTCAGCTCACAGTGTGACCACTCCCTGCCTGCCTGCTGTACTCCTGGGTGAGGCGGGCCCGCCCCCTGGGAGCCCCACCCCGCCCAGCCTGCCATCGGAGAGGGGAGTGTCCCGGCGGGAAGGAGAAAGGCAGCCTCTCCCCCATGGCCACACCCTCAGTCCGCCAGAAACAGGAAACAGGGTTTCCTCATCCACCCGGCCCACCTCTTGGGAGGTGCAGGGGGCCTGGCACTTCACTATATAATGATGGGTGCCAAGACTGCAAAGGAAGGAATGCATGCCATCCTCACAGTCACCCAGAATAACCCCCTCATCATGGGGGTAGTGGGGAAGGCCCATCACACAGGAAGGGTGCCTGAGTGTGGCAGGACCAGGGTTCTATGCCACACCTCTCTTCAGGGAACTCTCTGAGGCTCATTCTAGGGCTGCCCTTTCAGCCCATCTACCCTGCTAGGGTCTATCAGAAAGTCTGTTCTAATTTGTATGACACCTGGCTAGGAAGAGGGGATTGCTCGTCTGTTTTTTGCAATCCTCCTATATCACCTCCTCACGGACCTGCACTAGGAGGAAATCACGCCCTACCCCATAGCCCTGACTCCAGCACAAGGGCAGTCTGGCTCCAGTTCAGGCCACAGGCATCCTACGCCAGGCCTGGAGCCTCCCAATGTCCTCTAGGCTTAACCTAGAGCAGTGCTTGCCAGCAGAGCCCACCCAAAGCCCAGGCCAACCAAGCAGCACACCTCAGGGGAGGGGCGGACACATAGCTGAGGGATGACTCATCCAGGCCTGACTGCCCAGCTCGGAGCTGCAGGAACTCTTCCCCACGTTGGGGGAGGGGGCAGTGGGAAACACCAGCACCAAGAGGGGACCTTGTTGGTGAGTCAGGGCTGGGGAGGGAATCCAGGCCTGTGACTCACTGGAAGGAAGCCACACCTGGGACAGGACTTAGGGGAGACTGTCTGCAACCGGGTGGGGCTCCCAGATAGCAGCTGCTTTTATAAAGGTGGAACCCCAGGGCAAAGGGTGCAAGGGTGCCTGTGACAAACGGGGCTGCCCTGCCTGGGCCTCTGACTCTTCAGGTCTGTGGCAAAGCTGCCTATGATTGGCATCTGGGACTGCCCAGCCGCCAGACCACTACAGGAAAGAATGTATCACCCCGAACCACAAGAATTTTCCAGGCTGTGCATCTGGCTTGATGTGATCCAGCTGCAGAGGAACCCCCCTTCCCAGGGTGCCTCTGGGCCTCTGTTCCGGGAAACACTCACCCCACCCCATTTCTACTGCCCCTTTGTGGCCTTGAGAGGCTGCCAAAGCCCCCATGGGGTGGCGAGTGCCCAAATCAGGCATGGGTAGTTAAGCACTCCCTATGTCTAGGGGCACCCCTAGCCCCAAGGGCTCTGCCAAATGTCTTACACATGCACCCACCTCTGAAGATGCCCCTCAGTCTCTAAGCCTAGACTCTGAGCCTGGCATGAGATGCAGGGAGACCCTCTTGCTCTGCGCCATCCAACCCAGTGGTTCCAGAAACCCACCAGACATCTACTCGTCATCCTCCAGAGGTCCTCCCAAATACCAAATCTGACCCAATACTGGTCAGTGCTCTCAGTACAGGGTACCCACAAATGCCCCACAGCCAACACACTCCCCTGCCCCTCCCCAGGTTTGGGCCAGTAGAACTGCTCCCTGCCTCTTCAGAAGACATCTGGCCTGGCAGCTGTCCTGAGCCTAAGAACCATATCAATATCCTGCTGGATACAGGCTCTGAGGGCCCAGCAATAAGCAAGTAGGGCTCTACCTGCAGGAACAAGGCTGCCGTTCTGCTGAGGGGCACATACCACATGCTCCTGGGACTAGCCAAGAGGTGGGCACAGGGAACTCTAGAAATAGCTAGAGCTTGGAGAAACCTGGGCCTGAGGTACAGGACTCATGTGGACCCTTGCCCCAGGCTCCAGTAAAGTCCCTTAACCAGCCAGGGTCAGTGGCTCAGCCTGTAATCCCATGCTTTGGGAGGCCGAGGTGAGTGGATTGCCTG